TTTTTTTTTTTTTTTTCACAGATTATCTGTCTCATGTACTACTGTCAGAATATAATTAGTTTCAGCAAATATGACAATTTATGACGACAACTTTTTTTTAATGAAAATAACCTACTGCAACTATAAAGGAAAGTTAGTCTATATATGATTTACTTTTAAAACATGAACATTCAAAACATCAAAATGATGTACAGTATATAAAATAGCCATGTGAAATGAACTGAATGATTGTAAGTGGCAGACAAAAGTAGTATGTTCAACAGACTGAGACAGGAGCCAGTCAACATGAGTCACAGGAAGCATGAACGGATGGCTGCCTTTTGTTTTTAGTCTGTGACCTTTCACCCACCTCCCTAATCACTTTTGATTCCAGATCCACAATATCACCACGTACTCTCATATCCTTGTTCCATAATACTCTGGAAAACCCCATTTCAGGGTCTTTGATACTTGTGTTGTATGTTGAACTGTTTCTCAATGAGCTGGCTTCTAGAGTTAAGACAACGTGTGTCTGTCTGGTTTTTGCTGTGATCTGTAAGTGGGTTCATGTTTATGTTTTCTTTGAGGAAAATTATTGATATGTTCTGTCAGGGAACAGAGCAGAATGATTAGTCTTCCAAAACTACACAAAACACTGTAATTGATTTTACAGACGTCAAGATTTTACGCAGAACTAACGGGAAAATGCACTCAAAGCTTTAAGCAGTGCAGTAGCTCATACACAAACACATACTGCTGATTTCGTTCTTGTTCCAGGGTTTGTTTTGTTATTTGGACGGGACGTTCTTATTGGTCTGTGGAGCTGATTAAACGTATTGTAGATCACATGATGTCACGTACACTACAGCCACACAATATGCTGAGTAAAGAGCGTGACAGTGTCCCTGCACTTGCACCTTTGCTTGTCACAGGTAGTGGGAAATGTGGGAAACCACTACACTACAGCTACAGGTGCATCTCAATAAATTAGAATATCATGACAAAGTCAATTTATTTCAGTAATTCAATTCAAGTGAAACTTATATATCATATAGATTCATACCAGAGGTGGAAATGAATTTCAAGCCTTTATTTCTTTTAATTTTGATGATTATGGCTTACAGCTAACAAACCCAAATTCAGTATCTCAGATTTTAAATATTTCATATATTTCATAAGACCAATACATTTTAATACAGAATTGTCGGCCTACTCAAAAGTATGTTCATATATATGCACTCAATACTTGGTCGGGCTCCTTTTGCAGGAATTATTCCATCAATGCAGCGTGGCATGGAGGTGATCAGACTGTGGCACGGCCGAGGTGTTATGGAAGTCCAGGTTGCTTTGATAGTGGCCTTCAGGTCATCTGCATTGTTGGTTCTGGTGTCTCTCATCTTCCTCTTGACAATAGCCCATAGATTCTATGGGGTTCAGGTCAGGCGAGTTTCTGGCAATCAATCCAGTAAA